TCATATAGGCTAGCTAGCTATAAGAAACGTTACATTACCCGGCTGTCTTAGCAGTGGCAGTCAACATTTTAGCTTCCCTGGTATGTTGACTTAAATGTCATGTTTGCTTGTTTTCAACTAGCATAACTAACCCCTGTTTAAGTCTTGCCTTCGCCCTTTTACAAACCACATTATTGACGATATCTTACGTTGTCTGACAAGTTACCTAACTTTGTCTCTTTAACAATTAGCTAAGTACCAGTACCAAAAATAGCTTAAAGCCTTTATTAAATTATCCGTTTGTTGCAACAGGCTAAAAATAACCCCAATTAACGTTTAACACATATGCTAGTGAGCTAATGTTAACCTAGCCCCAGTTTGTGCCTGATAGTGATGCACTGTCACACGTAAATTCTACAAGACTTTAGCAAACATGAGAAGCGATTAAACATTACGTGTTAGCTTATGTTGGATGAGAGAATATTCGTGGTGTCTGAATTACGATGGAAAGATAAAGAAAAACACAGCCAGCGTTGACATTAGCCAGCTAGCGTTACCTGAGCTGACGTGTAAACGACTAGCAAACGTAGGCCGCTAACATTAGCCAATGCTAGCTCGGTTAGCTAGGCGGACCCAGCTAACGGTTAACATTATCGCCAAGGGAAACCCTCAAACACAGAAAGCTATAAACAAATACCGCTAAGACGGATACATTTTCATGAAATACACAAGGCTACTGACTAACTTCGGCGGCTGAGAGCCAGTTTAGCTCCGCGGCAAGCTGAGTTAACGAAGATAAATAAATATTTAACTCACACTTCCTCCATCTTTTATTATAATTTTCTTTGCAAGAAGAATGCTGCGGTTCAGCCGCTTTTTCTTCTTTTTCTCCCCCGTCATTGTTAACTTATGTCCATTCTTGATGTCAGAGGGTCATCGTTGCACCTATCAAAACTAAAACAATCTACTGATTTCGGCTACAAAGCTCATAACACCTCGGCAGTCCGCTACAAGCAGCTAGCAGTGAGCTAACTAAATGATGATTTCTCATCCCATTCCCCACCTTACTTCAACCCGTCTTCCTGAACTACATGTGGACCCGCCCTTCCATTGCAACGCCGCTCAGCGATTGGCTGCATGATGAGGGCGCAAACCCAAACTGTGCGTCTGGTTGGTTCAGAGAAACGTTGGGTGCTATTGATCCTCCAATGGGGATTTGAGAACATCACACCGCGGGTTCGGTGTACAAAGAGGAAATCCGTATATGGTAAGTAGCTGTGTTTATCAAGAAAAATGGACAAGATGTACAGCTATTGCATAGAACCCAGTAAAAACAATACAGTAATAGACAACGCCTTTACTAATTATTCAAATGCAAAATGGAGGGTTGCAAGTCTTTTAGTCTCTGTTTTATTCAGTCTTTTATTTTCAGATTTGTCTTAAAATATAATAGTTTTTGACTGCAATAGAATTTCCTTTTCTGGTACCTGCTACTTTGGAACAGCCCACTCTATGATTGCACTATTTAAATATGTAAATGTGATATTTTTGTTCCTGTGCTCCCTTTTTATGCAATTCTTTTTATTCTTACTATTATTATTACTATTTTTAAATAATTTTAAGTCTTTCCTGTCTCTTATTTGCCTCTTTTAATTGTTTTGCATTGTTTGTAGATAGAAAACCTTTTATTAAGTCGTCCTCTGTCTACAAAGGTACAGTACAGGCCAAAAGTTTGGACACACCTTCTCATTCAATGCGTTTTCTTTATTTTCATGACTATTTACATTGTAGATTCTCACTGAAGGCATCAAAACTATGAATGAACACATGTGGAGTTATGTACTTAACAAAAAAAGGTGAAATAACTGAAAACATGTTTTATATTCTAGTTTCTTCAAAATAGCCACCCTTTGCTCTGATTACTGCTTTGCACACTCTTGGCATTCTCTCCATGAGCTTCAAGAGGTAGTCACCTGAAATGGTTTTCCAACAGTCTTGAAGGAGTTCCCAGAGGTGTTTAGCACTTGTTGGCCCCTTTGCCTTCACTCTGCGGTCCAGCTCACCCCAAACCATCTTGACTGGGTTCGGGTCCGGTGACTGTGGAGGCCAGGTCATCTGCCGCAGCACTCCATCACTCTCCTTCTTGGTCAAATAGCCCTTACACAGCCTGGAGGTGTGTTTGGGGTCATTGTCCTGTTGAAAAATAAATGATCGTCCAACTAAACGCAAACCAGATGGGATGGCATGTCGCTGCAGGATGCTGTGGTAGCCATGCTGGTTCAATGTGCCTTCAATTTTGAATAAATCCCCAACAGTGTCACCAGCAAAACACCCCCACACCATCACACCTCCTCCTCCATGCTTCACAGTGGGAACCAGGCATGTGGAATCCATCCGTTCACCTTTTCTGCGTCTCACAAAGACACGGCGGTTGGAACCAAAGATCTCAAATTTGGACTCATCAGACCAAAGCACAGATTTCCACTGGTCTAATGTCCATTCCTTGTGTTTCTTGGCCCAAACAAATCTCTTCTGCTTGTTGCCTCTCCTTAGCAGTGGTTTCCTAGCAGCTATTTGACCATGAAGGCCTGATTGGCGCAGTCTCCTCTTAACAGTTGTTCTAGAGATGGGTCTGCTGCTAGAACTCTGTGTGGCATTCATCTGGTCTCTGATCTGAGCTGCTGTTAACTTGCGATTTCTGAGGCTGGTGACTCGGATGAACTTATCCTCAGAAGCAGAGGTGACTCTTGGTCTTCCTTTCCTGGGTCGGTCCTCATGTGTGCCAGTTTCGTTGTAGCGCTTGATGGTTTTTGCGACTCCACTTGGGGACACATTTAAAGTTTTTGCAATTTTCCGGACTGACTGACCTTCATTTCTTAAAGTAATGATGGCCACTCGTTTTTCTTTAGTTAGCTGATTGGTTCTTGCCATAATATGAATTTTAACAGTTGTCCAATAGGGCTGTCGGCTGTGTATTAACCTGACTTCTGCACAACACAACTGATGGTCCCAACCCCATTGATAAAGCAAGAAATTCCACTAATTAACCCTGATAAGGCACACCTGTGAAGTGGAAACCATTTCAGGTGACTACCTCTTGAAGCTCATGGAGAGAATGCCAAGAGTGTGCAAAGCAGTAATCAGAGCAAAGGGTGGCTATTTTGAAGAAACTAGAATATAAAACATGTTTTCAGTTATTTCACCTTTTTTTGTTAAGTACATAACTCCACATGTGTTCATTCATAGTTTTGATGCCTTCAGTGAGAATCTACAATGTAAATAGTCATGAAAATAAAGAAAACGCATTGAATGAGAAGGTGTGTCCAAACTTTTGGCCTGTACTGTACATCAGACATATGTTTACACAGTACAAAACAGTACAATGCAGGAATACGATGAAAAATGATAAATGTCCTAATAGAGGACAGCATGAATGGGGATGAATATGTAAGCACCAGTTAAAATATAATGTTGAAATGACAGAAATATATCAGAAATATGTTCAAAAGTATAAAAAAAATATAGCATACCATCAAAGTAAGCAATGCCTTTAGAGCTTTACACTTTATCAAATTAAATTGTGTTAATCCCTTTGAAATTAATGAGGATGGTAAAATCCATTCTCACCTGTTTTATGTTGTCACTGTTACAGGGGATTCAAAATATTTCAAAATATGTTGAATTATGTAGGCTCTCTTTCCATCTACACACATTAGGGTTTTCCCTAAAGGTCATCAAATTAATTTAAATGTTTTGCACCTGCAATTAATCCATGTAAAACGACATGTTAATACATTCCGAGGCATAATATCAATCATTTTAGAGGATAATCAAGAACTATGGAAATTAGCGTCCATAAAACATTTCTCAGAGTAAATGAGTGATGCTCTCATGCAAAGTTTAGATTTCTGTGAAAAGAAAGTGGTGCATGATTAAAAGTGAAACCGTTTGTGCTGGAAACATGCCAGAGGGTGTGTGCAGCTATGCAACTGTGGGAAATTTTTAGTGAGTCACTAAAAAAAAAGTTTAGTCTTGTGAAATGCTTGGTAGCGATCAAATCAGAGATGTAATTTCACAAAGAATGTCAGCCTAATTTAAAGTTTTCTGATCTAGACAGAGTAGTTTCACCAAGAGTAGAAGTAGTTTTATGACCAGCTACTTTGTCAGTTACATTAAATAGAGAAATATTTATCCCAAATTGCTCTGTTATAGTTACTATTTTCATTCATTTTCTAATTGATACAAAAGGCAGTTCTTTCTCTTTAGAACATCCACCTGAAGTACAATTTTTAGTTTCCTTGGTGGTATTGTTGCTAACTGATCTTTCCACAAATAATATTTCATGTTCTTTTTAAGTTGTGCTGTTTTTCATTTACTTTTTTAATCCATGACCTGTTTTTTTTTTAACAGAATACGGCATGATATTCTTTAAAGAAAAAATGTATTTCTCTGCTGGAAAGATGGTCTTTCAATAACAGTGGGCTGACTATGCAGTAGAAAGACACATTTTGAAATTGATGCTACATGACCAGAGAAAATCGAGGAAAAGGGCTTTTGCTCAAGAGGTAGAAAACCTACAACTACCACAATGCACTGACCTACACTGGACCAGTAAACACTCCCGCTGATGGATAACATGCTAAGATCCTGGCTATTTTGACACTAGAAACAATATTTGATCAGCACTGCCCAGTTTTACCATTTGATCCAAGTTTGGTCTGTGTTTCAGGCAGGTCTCCTCTAAATCTGCTTCTTAACTCTTTGTGTTCATGGAGGTGGGCATATAAAAATACAGAAGCACAATCTGTAGTTCGAGCAGCAGCCCTGGAGCCAGCAAAAATTCACTGGAGATCTGGTTGCTGGTGAGATGAAGGGAAGTTTAACACAGCTCATTTGCACATACTACCCACACTGTTAATATACAAAGCTGGTTGTAAATCCACAAAGTATCCCTTTTAGAGACGTGTGGTAGTTGAAGCTGTAGCCCTGGTTACACTGATTTGTAGCCTATTATAGCAAGAGACATTTGGAAATGGTCAGTTTATTTTAGTTGGTGACAAAAAACAAACTCGGAGAACATTCACCCCAATATGCATTATTCCTACCCCATATAAAATGTACAGGCATGCATATTTAAAAAGCCTACATGTAGTCTAAACACAGAATGTTTACGTGGTGGAACTGCACAGCCTCACAATACCAAGATAAGTGACAGAGGGAAGTATTTTCAGTCAGTCTAACAGGCAGCAATGTGGCCATTCCCCTCACAGGTGTATTGAATCAGTGGTCAGTCACAGCAGTAGTTACCACAGGAAAGTGAGAAACAGGAAAAACAGAACTGAAACGTTTCACAACAGTGCGCTCGACGAGAGCCCAATATGCACCGTTCGCACTCTGTACAATGGAGAAGCACTCTGATTCTCTCATGAACCTTTTTGGTATTCTTACAATACTTTTTTTCACAAACACCATAAAGTCCCATTAGTATCATAGTGGTCAAGCTCAGAATAATGTCCATCAGTAAAGGAGACACTTGTGTCCTCAGTCGCTCCTCGTCATGTTGTCCTGTTTTTCTCTATAGATGAGACACAGCTGGTCACACAGCTTCACAGAACTGAACTAGAGTACCTACATTTTATAAAATGTGAATTGTACAATTCTGAAATATGTTTAAAATCACATACAGAGCATTGTATATAAAAAAGGCCGAGGAGTCCTTGCTGTTGGGTCTTCTCCAGATCTCTTATAAAAACCCTGAAGGGACAATTAATACGATCACCCATTAAATACATATTAACTCTCGAAGCACGTTGTTTCCATAGCAGCATTGACAAATGGAAAAGTCTATAAAACAAAGTGCACAGTTCTTTTTTGACATAACACACTATTAACACATACTTGGGAATATTCCACTGATTACAACTTGTCATGTTATGCGCAGGTTAGATCTTCATCCTCGTCGATGTAAGGGATGTCCAGGTCATCAAAGCTCCCTTTGAAAGTCTTACTGGTGATTTGGGGCTCGCTGAGTGGGGAGGGGCTGTCTAGGCTGGGCAGGAAGCACATGGACTGGGTAACATCTGTCTTTCGTCCTGATGCAAACTCTTTGTGTGCATCACTTGTTTGAGCCATCAGACTTCTGACTCTCTGCGCCAGGTCAGGAGGTTTAGGCGGGCACTCAGGTTTCTGAGTTTTCAATCGCATGGTCACCTTTGCTGGTACTAGAATATCAGATAAGCACACATATTTGGTTAGAGCTATGTGTACAAACACACTGTCAACCCAAAGACATAAACAGAACCAGTTATTGTAATGCAGGCACACAGTCTGTGGGGTTAAAGAAAGCCTAACATCTAATTAGATCCTCCACTCTATTGTGAATACTTTCTCAGGGCCTCAGGATGCTTCAAACAAAGTGCTGGTTGTGTAGTCTGACAATGTCAGTATGCTCTTAACAAACTACTTTGTATGCATTGGTGGGGCTGTGTTCATCAACTTTAGTAACATTTTTCAAACCGACAATCTGAGAATGATGCCCACTTTTTGGCCAAGTGTAAAAAAATGCAGCTTTCTCACTTATTTTAATGAGGTCACTCAGGTGGTACAGTTCGCTGTGTGAACATAGCGGGTAAAAAAACACAAAAGTTTAACCTGGCTCAACTTCTGCTGGACCACGAGGTAACGCCATCCACTGAGGCGCTGTGATGGCCTATTAATATGTGTATGTACGCAGCACATTTCTACTGTTTACCTCACAACTGTTGCAATAAAAGATCTACGTGTGGTTAAAAAGCAGGTCTATCTCCAGCTCACAGTGTAGCCATTCATATACTTTTGGTTTTAGATTCATTGTATGACCCAGTCTGTTTCAAGCATACTGAACCCTTAAGTATGATGTCTCTTCTTATCTCTTCCCTACACACATACTATCCAATATCCCATGTGCCATAGTGGGGATCATTTTAACTTCATGAGTGAGTTGTATTCTGATACCTAGAGGAAGGTGAAGGTACCTTACCTCCCTACTGACCTTCCGAGTCCAGGCTGCCCATGCGATCCTCTAAACTCTCTGAACTCATTGATGACGACGAGTCCAGGTTGTCATTGTCAGAGTTCTCCTGCTCAAGGTCGGGTAACCTGCAGGCCAAGTCCACCCTGAGAGAAACAAAACAAGATGTTATTATTCAGACTCATTGCTCAAAATGCATTTAACACTGCATGAAAAAAATCTCAGCTCACTTCTCTTGCTTGATGGACTTGATCCTGTCAATGAGGACCCTCTCCGTTTCATCCGAATTTGGCTGAGAAACATCGAGCTCTGACGGCTTTTCAACAATCTGCACAGAGATCAGGATAATCAGGACACTGGCTCCAAATCAGATGAATTTTATCCCAAAAACTAACTGCTCCTCAACTACTGTAATCTACTGTTTAGAAGTTTAGCAAGTGGGTCATTTACTGTAGATGCAAGAATGGTGGAGACTTGGACTTGGACTTTTTTGTTTAACAATGATATGCAGTAAATGTTAGGTGACCATTGGTGACTCTGGCTTATGCTACTCATCTCCCAGGTATAAATATGTTGATTAAAACCAATATAAACAAGGATGTTAATTTCTTAAATGCCTCTTTTCTCGGATTTATATCAAGTTAAACAACAATTTTAAAAAAAGCTGTTTTGCTCACGTTTTTATGTGTAAATTTTACTTCACAAATAAATAAGGTGACTGTAAACAGCTTTTTTATCACCTAAGAAACATAGTCCAAGTACGGCCATTCCTTACCTATAAAGATGCTGAAAAACTTTTTCACACTTTTATTTCAAATAGATCATTGCAATGCTCTTTTTACTAGGCTTCTGAATCAGAGATTTGAAGAATTGTAACTTATTCATAATTGTGCTGCTAGACTTTTAACCAAAACAAGGAAGAGAGCACATATAACCCTGGTTTTAGCTGTGCTTCATCTGCTCCTAGTATCTTTAAGAAAACAACGATCTTTCATTTGTTTTTAAAGCTCTCGATGGTTTGGGACAGTCCTACATTGCAGACTCTCTGTCATTATATAATCCTTCTCAAGCTCTCAGATCCACTACTGCTGGGTTTTCAAATAAACAAAACTCACCACAGCTTTTGTTAGCTATGCTTCTAAATTATGGAATTTCAAATTTCTGAAATAGCCTACCAAGAGCTGTAAGAGATGCTGCCTTAAAATAAATAAAGTTCTCTCTCGTCTTATTTAATTTTATCTTATTTGATTTGCTCTGACAACTAAAAACCTATGTTTTTTAGTTTGGTTTTTAATTAATGTCATTCTCCTAATATTTTTTTTTTATTAATTCTTTCATATTTTAATTATTCTGACTTGTCTTTTAACCATCACATATATTATATTATCTACTGTCTTTTTATTGTCAAATTTTGTTGTCCTTCTTGCTTTTTTTTTTTAAATTAAATGTGTTGTATTATAACTGCTGGCAGAAACGCCTGACAGTGAATTTAATATATGTTTTTGTGAGTTGATGTGGCAGCTCTGTGCTGTCTTGATGCATTATGCATTTTTTAAATATTCCAGCCAGATTGACAAACAAAAAAAAAAAAAAAAATTAAATGACTGACAAAAGCTGCTTGACCCAGCTGTTATTTCATGATGCTTGTGATGGTGTCATGATCTTCCTTTGGTCTTGTAGTTTTCTCTCACCGTGTTTTGTCTCCTCAGTTTGAGCTGATTGACAGCTATGGCCTCTGCAAATTCCAGCTCCTGGATATTCTGCATCTTTTCGTTGTAACGTCTGAGCTGCTCAGTGATTAGGATCTCCACACACCTGCAGGTAGCACAGTGAATGATGAATTCATCCCTATAAAAACAACGACCCTCTCTAGAGAGACATACGGTGTATCTAACAATAGCACATACACTATTTTGAAGATGCCAGGGTTTTTCAGTGGGCAAGAAAATCAAATAAATAAATCAAATTAAACTTGAAGAGTTACGAGAGTGTGCAGTAAGTCTCACTTGGTAGTCTTGGACACATCCTTCATACCAAGGAAGGGATCGTCACTGTCCTTTGGACGCAGGATGCAGGGGGCAAACACAATAGCAAGAGAGCTCGGTGACATCTTATTGTGCTCTTCCTCCTTTGCAACCCTAAAAAGACACAGATCAAGATCTCACAGGACTTTTTATCAAACACAAAAAATCAACAGAGTAAGGAGTTGAGGATTCTTTGCAACCCACATTTTAGAATACAGTGGAAATCATTTTGTTTTGACAACACATGAAACAAACACTTCAGTTAAAGAGCAGACACAGTAGAGGGGAACAGTGGAGATCTTCCTACCTGACGAGGTGGAAGATGAGCCGCTCTAATGTGTTGAAATTAGCAGGAGGAAGTTCTTCAACCTTTTGGTACACAGCCTTTATTCTCTCAGATTTCTCAGGCAGCTCTGGAGGCAAACAAACATGGAGATCAACAAACTTCCATGTCAGCAATATTTGACATTTTTTTTAATTGAAAAATCCCAAAAAGACATCTATAGTTGTAGCTTCTCCACTGTGGGCATTTGCTGTTATCAATATTTTACTCACCAACAGCATGCAGAAAGTCGTTGTAGAGTGAAAAAGTCATGAGGGGGTCTGGCAGCTCTCTGAGCCAACGTTTAACCAGACCTGTGATGGTGTGGATTGGGTAGTTGTCTAAACTTGGTTTCTCAGGATCTGATACCACAAGACAGAACACACAGATGAGAGACACAGAGAAATGCAAAATTATTTTATAAGTCAATAAAATCACTTTTCATTCTCCACAGCTGGCTGAAAAAGGATGTGATGATGAAATTTTAGTATTATAATGATAGAAGCATAAGGTTTATAATTACTTAAAGGAATACTTCAACCCCAAACTGATCATATTTGCATGTATCAATTACTCTCCCTGGTCTACATTTACTTTGTGAAGAAAAAGCTTTTCTCACACAATACTGGTAAATGATGAATGCAAGAACGAAGAAATGTCTTGATCGATTAAAGTGATAAGGGGCCGTGTTTAACTACAACAAAACTATATCAAAACAAATGTTTACAAACTCTCACACAATCCGTGCAGTATAATCCGAGTGTCATTTATCCATTTGTATGCTCAGTACTTCTCAAACACATGTATTTTTACTCAACCTTAGTATTAGTAGCAGCATTAGTAGTGACAGCAGAACTCCTGGCTGATGAGCAAGCTAGGAGGTAGGATTTCATGAATACACAAGCAGAGTTCAAACACATGCGGTTGCCCAAGCACGCTACCTGCATATGACTGGATAAGTGGGACTTGGATTACACTGCATGAGTTGGCTGTGAGTTTGTTAACAGATATTTTTATATAGTTTTGCTGTTGTTAAACACGGACCCGTGACTTCAATCCATCAAAAATGTTCTCACTTTTTGGACTCTTGGAGGCATGTGAGAAAAGTTTTCTTCAAGAATTCATCCTAACACTGGGCACTGGGTGAGTAACTGATATTCAAGTGATCATTTTGACACATTTTTTAAAAAATGTTTTTAAAATACAGCACACAAGTTATCAAATGTTATAAAATTTTAAGTTATAATATGTCTGAAGGCCACTGCACACTGAGTCCGTTTTTTTTCAGCTGTGCTTTTTTAATATGCATCCGAACAAAATCGTTATGCACAGAAACCTTGCTCACTGATTCTAATGCGTTTTATTGTTCTGTTTGTTGCGAAAATTTGCAATACTTGACAAAATGAAAAGACACATTTCTATCTTTGCCTCACTCCACTGAAGTTACCTATCTGACTGTCACCACTCCCTCCCTGTCTGCCATGTGGCACTGCAGCTGCATGAAGGGGCAGAGCTTCTCTCCCTCTGTCTTTCTCTCCTCTTCATCATTATCCAACCCAAATATATTTATCTGACCTATTGAAAGTGAGCTATCTGAGTGATGAAATGATTCTGTGTGCCCCATTCCTCCATTTTGTTACGGCTGTGTCCTATCATCACATTTTCTTCACAGATTCTTGTCAAACAGGCTTCTGACAGATGCAAAAAAATGCAGAAAATCAAACCTGTTCCGAAAAAATGACGAATGACGTTACGGACTCAGTGGGCGAACATGACTGACGCAGCCTGAGGTCGTATTTATTTTAAGGTGTAACAATTTCGGAAGAAAAAACAGACTCAGTGTGCAGAGGCCTTTAGTCTGGACCTGAACTATATATATATATAAAAAAATTACAAAAACATACAAATTAAGAGAGACTAGACAACAAAGAAAAAACATGTAGAGAGAACAAAAGAAATCCTGTCATGTCCTATCATTTTAAATGTCTCCCTGGTAGATAAAGTAATTTTCTCCCACTTAAAGTCCACAGGAACTTTTTTTCCATTGACAGTGGTTGTCCTCGCTCCACTTCAAACATACCACTTAATAAAACCAGGAACATCATTTTGTGTGGAACTCTAATCAAGTGGACCGTAGCTGACTGGATCTGCTGGCTTGCTGGCAAATTTCAAGTGTGAGCTGGTGTGCAAATAACTCCTTACCAGTCTCCATAATCTGGTGGAGCTCCCTCGCTCGACAGGTTGAGCCCGACTTGCGGTAAATTCCCTCTGTGTAGAGGCCATTTATCTCCACGTGCAGCAGCAGCAACTCCACCACTTTAGGGACAGTGGTGACTTTATTGGTGAGGACACACACCTCTACCCCAAAGTGAAGGGAGCCGGGTACACTGTCATCCTAACACAAGCAAACATGAGAGCAGGACACACGAGGGATTTATGGACAGGAAGTTTTGATAATGTGATGTGTATGTTTTTAGTTATTCAATCATATTATAGTGTTTGTAGGAGTATTTAAAGATGTCAGTTACCCTACCCGTCTGGCACACCGTGTTGAGCAATCTGTGATGACGTTGTTCAGGCATTTTTTGTGACATATTAACTTGCAAGCTATAAGACAAAACAAAAAAATAATAATTGTGGCCCTTTAATTTTTTTTTTCAAATGCTGTTACATTTTGTGATCTTTCAGCTCTTTGAACTCACCACTGCACATGTAGGCTTTTTCCATTGCCCAGATGTAGGAGCCACACAAGTCACATGACTGCATGACATTCACCTGGTATGTGCTGAACAGGTGATCCAGAGGACCGTTAGGCTGTAGAGAGAAGAAGCACAGACAATGCACTGGGATGATTCACCTGGATGTATGGTGCAGAAACTTCACAGTGCAAGTTAAGATATTCAGCTTACACATTTTTCCTTTTTCCTCCTCTTCTTTGTCATCTTGGTGGACTGAGAAAAGCCAGAGGTGAGATATATGAGTGAGTCTTAATAGTTTATCATCACCAGGTAATACAGAGACTGATGATTGATTGAAATTATAAAATTTACCTTGGCTGGTTCAGACTCGTTCGTTCGTTTTACCTCGGCCCTAATAAAGCCATCCAGGACAGACTGGAACAAGTTGACCACCAGCGCGACTTCTGACTTCTTCCTCTTGGTCCCTGCAAGCGTGTTCACTTTGTTGCTGTAGCCTTTCATCAGATCTTTGTAGCCGATTTGGGGCTTCTGTTGGTCACAAAGTGTGCATGAAAAGTTCAGTAAGTGACCACTTTCCACCTTCAAGCATTTTAGGCTACGTTCACATCACAAGCATATGTGGCCCAAATCCGATGTTCTTGCTCTCATGTGACACAGGTCACATTTCTTCAGAGTAGTGAGGACACAGAAATATTTCACATGTAGTCCAGGCGGCTCTGGCTCAAGATGAGGTAGAATGGGTCGTCCCCTAATTGGAAGATTGGCTGGTCGATGCCCGCCTGCACGTCGAAGTAACCTTGGGCAAGATACTAAACCCCATATTGCTCCTGATGGCTTTACCATAAGTTTGTGAGTGCGTGTTAATATCTAAACTGAGTAGCAGGTGGCACATTGTGTGGCAGCCTTGGCCACCAGTGTATGAATGTGTGTGTGAATGGGTTAATGTGACAATGTAAAAGCACTTTGAGAGGTTGGATCACTCTTGATGCTTGCACCGCTTTGACATTCATTTTCCCCCCAAAAATGTCTGTCTAATAAATGTGATGCTTTTTGTTATTGTTCTGACACGCCTGTGTGAGACGTTATCGATTGCATGTGAGGTGATTGAGGGCAGAGATTGGTTCACACTGATGTCAAATATGGGTCACTTCAAACATAAATGTGAACAGCGTAGGCAGAAAGATTGGATCTGGGAAATAATTGGAATTGAGCATTAAGCCCTGTTACTGAACGTGACCTTAGTAGCAGACTTACAATGATTTATTTTAACAGTCAGTCCAACATTTGAAACACTGTAAAGTATTCAAAAAAACTCCCTGCAATGATCATGAATGGTAGCTACATGTTAGTAAAAGACTCTTCCCCCTCATTTCCCTCTATTTCATCAAACTTTATATTGTAAAGAGGAAGAAGCTGGACTGACCTGGACAGAGTACATGCCTTTGATGGTGTCTCTGAAGTGCACGGTGGCTTTGAGGAAGATGGTCTCTGTTGGCGACAGGTCTTTAATTCTATTTTGCAGGTTTAACACCTGAAGACAAAGATGAGGAAATTATGAACATGTAGAACAAAGGATTTTGATTTTGATTCCTTTAGTGGGGTGAGATATATGTCATGTCACACAGGAAAGTCATTGTATGTGCCTTAACCTTTCAGCTGTCAGGGAGCCCTAAGAACACAGGATTACTAAAAATTATACAAACAATATTTACTGTCTATCATGTACAGCTTGCTTGAGATTTTTCCAAAATCCACTGGAGATTGAACAATAATAACATCACAATTTCTATCTTGGAAAAACAAACTACTCCACCATGAAACTATATGAAAATAGACAAAATTAAATTTACTAGGGGAATAATGCATTATAGAAATATATATAAATACCAAAAACTGTATGAACAGACACGTAACTTGTAAAATAATACAATAAATGATCAAAACTCCCCTCATCAGTGATTTCTCACTGATTTACTGGAATCACTTGTTATTTTAGGAGAGGATTTCCTCAGCTACTCTTTAATTTCATAACATAAGTATTCACAACACTGTTGTTACTGGTAATCCCCACCACCCTTCCCCTCAGCCATCACACTGCTGCAGCCATGGCATATATTTGTACTACAAGTGTGATGAAGATGTTTTACAACTGTGTAAAAGAGCTGAGCTATAGCATGATGATGTACACAAAACTGCACTTCTACAGCACAAACAAGTGAATTACTTCATATGTGTGTCAGAATTTAGAGGTGCTATAAATAAAACTGGAGTTAGCTGTTATCGGCTGAGCTTCAGATAACCCTCCTCAGGTGCTGATCTCACCTGCTCGCCGAGGAATTCGTCCAGGTTTCGCAGCTCATTGGGGTTGGTGATCTCACGGTCCAGAGACGTGTTACACTGCAACGCCCGCGTGGCCCGGCTGATTTTAATGGTCGGGTTTCGATTGGCCCTCTCAATGCTCTGGTTTGGCATGTGATAGCTGTGTGGAGTGTAGCTGGCCAAGGTGACTGCACACAGATGAGAAAATGTGGCATTATCAGGCTGACAGGACCAATTACAAGTTTATACAGTTACTCTGCTGCTGATGTGTAAGATACTTTGAAGCCTCCTCAAGAAGACCTTGCTTTACACATATTGCTCCATGTTGCTGATCAGCAAATCACCTCCAGATGGCAGTGAAGAGAAGAAGGTGTGTTAGAGTATTTCCATACAATGGTCATGCAATAAATGCCATCAGACCCATGCCACAATACTCCACATGCTCTGGATATGCCCGTCTTCACATTTATACAGGACTTCTATTTTTAACACTATCTTTGAGGTGGTGTGCCAGCGTCTAGTCCCTTGTCCATTTGCAGCACTATTTGGGGTTTTACCTGAGGAAGCAAAAATGTCTCAGCTAAAAAAAGATTTTGCAGTTTTCAGCAAAATGCTTAATCTCAATGTTCTGGAAGAAGCCTAGTTTTCCCACTCACACTCACTGGGTGAGAGATCTGTTGCAACTCTCTAAACTAGAGGAAAAATAGACACAAGTGATACATAAGAATTAACATCCACATTTTATACAGTGTGGCAGCCTTTCTTTCAATGTGTGGATGATGTGCTGTTATTACCAGTTTTAGAGGATAACTGATACACAACCTTGATGTAGACACAAGGCAGACACATCCACATCTTGTCCCAGCTGTTTGTCCATTTTTGTTGGTTTGGATGCATGCTTATTTTTTCTGTAAGTTCTTCAAGATATTTACAGACAATGCATCACTCTTTGTCTCTGTTTGTGCCATTCTATGTCTACAACTGCATAAATAAAACATAAAAAAGAGGGAGAAGTGTGTTAACTAGTGGTGTGGGATGGTAAACTTTGACTTTCACCTGTGAGGTCCAATGAACAAACACCAATGTCATGAGAAAAATTATGTATAGAAAGCTGTTACACTGTTATTGTTTCCTGTTTCCTATTTTCCCCCCTTCTTTCAGACCTTGTCTTGAAGTAATTCAGATTCTGTTTATACTACAGTACTTTCAACCCGTTGCTGCTTATCTAAAGTGCACTGCATGTGTACATGTTGAAGTATCTGCATTGTACAAATAAATACATCAAGACTGCTCCTCTGCTGCTTTAGGTTACCTGCTTTATCTGATGGGGAGTCGCTGCCCGGGGAATACTTAGGCCCCCGCTTTTTCAGGAATCTACTGAGAAACCAAACCCTGTAGAAAAAGACAGTCTGTATCAATTCTATGTCGCAACATCAAATACATTAAGTATGGTCAAAAACATAATGCTTGGCTTAAAACATTGAACAATTTGCTTTAAACTGAGTAAAGAGTTTTACTTCTCAGGAGTTGTGAGTTGTGACTGGTTAGATCCCTGTTGTTCCGACTCCTCATTCGTTCTACTGACTGGAAGACTGAACCTTGACCCATCAGGTTCTGATGGTATCTGCAACAGTATCAAAACATGGACATGCTGTGAGTCAAAGCATAAAAACTTGCTAACAAACAACTATAAAAAACAACTCTGACAGGAAAACCAAAAATGCCCTCCTGATACCCAGGTAAAAGAGTCAGTCCTCTTTCCCCACCATGTCTCCCCGCAGCGGCTGCACCATCACCACCAAATCAGGCCACACAAACATGACAAAATATTAGCCCCATAGTGGTCGTCCTCCACCACCATTTTTAACTCATGCAAAGCAGCTGCACTGTCTCCTGCCACCAGCTGAATGTTGACCTTTTTTTGCTTTAATTAGTACGGGCCAAGTTAGTTCATATATCAAAATTGTGTCAGTTTGTTAAAACATTTATTTACACATTTAGTTTTAAACCTTATCCCCCGTTTATATGTTCATAATTAGATGCTATTTGCTCTTAACACCAATTGCGTAAATTTTATAAATAATCAATGATATTCCAGTGGTGTTTATAATATTTAAAGAATAATGATTTTTGCCATAACCGGAAGGACATGGTTCATTTAACTATTGGTTTATTAGTATGATAGTGTGTATTGTTAAATAAGATAATATGATGAAAAAAAGAAAATATGATTGTGTTCAAAAATCTGATAGTCTTAATTTGTGGCTTTGTGTTCAGTATTTTGTACAATAAACATGAAATTAAGTAACAAGTCAACATAATCAAAGTCACAGTCCCTGTCTTGATTTTTAAGTGACCAAAAAACACTGACATAACAGAAATTCATCATATCCTGTGGTGAGTCTGAACTGTGCCTGCTGACCTATGACTCATTTGGGTGAGGAGACAAAAAATCGGAAATAAGCTTTGGAAACGGGCTGTGAGAGTCCTTTTTTCTGTTTTCGTATGCAACAGGTCTTTTTGTTATCCTGGGCTGCAGGACAGAAATGAGAAATCGCAGAGCAATGCAACCTTTCAGACATACACATGCAAGACCTGCATGCAGAGGAGAGTCGTGATCCATCAAAACATCCCTTCGGTCAGTACCTTGACCTGGGATTTGAGGGCCCGGACATCCATGCTACTGGTTGAGCCCTTCAGGTTGGACACATGGGGGCTGATGGGAGGCAGTGGAAAGCTCCAGTACTCGCTCTCCTTAGAGCCCCCCAAGTTCATCATCAAACCACTGCGGGCGTAGGCTAAGCGCCGCTTGCGTTTGGGCTGCTTGCGGAGGCGCACCCTGACCTAATTGGGCCAGGAAAGGTGATGAGGCACAGACTGGGAGGCCTTTTTTGATTCATGTGTAAGGAGCCACCATCTGTGTGTTTGTTAGCTTACAGCACACAGAACCACTGAATTTTTAAAAGCCAATGCCAACATTTAATGTTGTACTGGACACTAACAACAACTATATGAGAAACAAAAAGAAAACTGATTGAATGTTCTAGCGGTAGGTGAAGACACAGTGTGTTGGATTATGTAGAAACATATTGACAAAAGTTACCGGATTGGAAGAGGGCGAGCTGTCAGAGCCTGATGAGCTGATCTTGGACAGTTCATCAACAGACATGGACTTTATTTTGCGCCTGTGTTGCAGAAGGAAATAAGAGCAGAGCTGTGGACCACTGTCGGACTGAATCAAGATATTCATTTTGAGAAATATTTGCCATGTAAACATCTTACCATGACATAAACAGGATAGATAAATATAAAGACATGATCAGACTGGTAAAACTCAAAGCAAGTTTATGACGTCATTACAACAGTTTGTCGGGGCCATATTAACAAAGCTGCGACATTTTTGGAAGAAAGACTAATATGAGTTGAGGATGCTTACTGAAAGTCATCTTTCTTGTGTTGTCGTCGCCGTATTTCTGGACTTGATTCATCTGTCGGATCACCGTCGCTCTTTCTTTCCCTCCACTTCTCGGCCTTCTCCTTGATGCCCCCCATGTCTTGGTAGCGCTGAAGCGAGCTGCTCTTGGAGGGGCTGGCGGAGCCGTCATCACTGTCCACTTTAGGGTCAAGTGGAACGGAGAAGGGTCTGCTGAGAGGGGGAGGGGATACTCTGCCCTCTCCCTTCTCCCTGCTCCTGGACCTGTTGGGGCTGAGCTCCACTTTGTGCTGTCTTCTTAACTCCTTTTTTGACAAGCTGTTATGTGAGAAGCACTGAATAAGACTTGCATCACAGCAACACATCCGTAATATAAACACTAACGCTTTAATGTCTGATTTGAGACTAATTTTACCTGGAATGCACAGACAGTGAACCAAACCACAATGACCTAACTGTCTAGATAAAATCCGGGCCGATGATAGCCCACCATAGATTATCAAAGATATATTGGTATCAGCATGTATGTTGGTGCAGACGCAGAACGTGTTGCAGAGCAGAAACGCCATAAATATATGTTTATACTATATAACAGCCGGCCACAAGAGAGACATGGCAATTTTATTTTCATCTATAAAATGTTCTCTACGTATGTATCTTGGTCAAGATTCTTAAATAATCAAAATTAAGGATCCTTATTAAAAGTGTTTGTTTAAAAGACATCAGTTGGCTCATTAGGATTGTCTCTGAATAATGTTCTACCTGCTGCACACATGTCCCTGAACAGAGCACCCACTGCCAGCCCATTCATGTGACATTAATGCCGCAACAGCTCATAGAAGTTTCTTCTTTTTTACGACAATGCCTGTGTGTCTTTTCAAAGACAGGCACACTATTTGATGTTGTTGAATAAAAACTCAGTTGAACTGGGATTATAAATGCAGCTTTTCTAAGTGCTGTATTTATGTTGGGTTGGGTGGATGGCACACTGCATATTAAAACACTACACCTGTCATGCCATGTCAAAAATTGGTCAAATCTGTACACAACATAAAACTACCAACATTAATAAGCATAAATGAACAAGTTTCAACCATAAAATGGCACAAAAAGTGTCCACAAACGAGGACAGCAAGTTAAGTAGAATGAAGTCAAGGTCAAGTAAACCCAAAATGTGATGTCCTCATATGAGGACACAGGGTCTCAGGAGGTTATACCATGTTAAATAATAATAATTCATTCCCTAAATGATGATTAGTCTATCAATTACTCACCAGGTGTTACACAGAATATGTGAAGAAACGCTGAACAAAAACAGAGAAAATTCTTGATGAATTAAAGTCACAGGGGACCATGTTTAACAACAACAAAATTATACCAGAACATCCTTTTACACACTCTCACACATCTAGTCCAAGTCTCATTTATCCAGTTTTAAACTCAGTACTTCCCAAACACATGCATTTTACTAAAACCTTAGTATTTCAAACACATACACATAAACAGTCTCAGGAACGGCAGAGTCAGGCTCTTGCACTGTTTACTGTATGCACAAAGGGCATAAACAAACACAAAGTGTTTTAAATAGTACTGGATAAATGAGACTTGGATTATACTGCACGAGATGTTTTGACATAATTCTGCTGTTATTAAACTGAGACCCTATGACTTCAATTCATAGTCTTCTTCACAAATTCACCTTAACATGGGGTGAGTATTTGTTCTACAAAGGATCATTTGGGGGTGACATATTCCTTTAAACTCTACATAAGTGGCACTGTATTCAACAAGAGCAGCTGCAAAGTGAGCAGTGTAGCTTTAGTGGCATGTGTACCTGTCCCGTCCAGGTCGGGTTTGGGACGTGTCCTCACCATCCTCCGTCCCATGTTCGCGGTTTGACTTCTTCAAGGAAATCCTCCATGCTGTCTGGATCACCGTAGCAGCTCGGTTTTGTTTCTCATAAAACTCACGCCAGCTCCTCTGAAGAAGACCAGAAATACTCTGTCAACTTAAGTCTGCTGTGTCTTTATTTGTTCTCAAGACTGTGGGAATATTTATTTTCTTTTTGGATGCTTAGAAGGCAAACCAAGGGCACTGACTATCTACTGTACACCATCCTTGGAAACCTCCCATGGGATTAATATTTTTATTGTCTAGTAGTCTCCATGAGAAAAGATATCTGATCATCTTCTATTTCTGAATACTGTAAATGGCACCTGTATGACCATAGTGGCATCTCTTTTTTGCAGGTAGAGCATCCTCATCAGACAGGCACGGAACCAGCGCTGCAGGATGATGATGTGACGCATCACTTCTTTGTTAAGAGTGTCTTGGAGCTGTTGCCTCTCCTTCTCCTTGAGGAAAACCTGAGGAGATGAAAAAGAGGATGAATGATGAAACCACTGGAAAAATTTGCACTGGTACATTTTAATACATGCATTACTGCTTATGTGACTTGTATTAGTAAGTGACAGTATTCTCTGATACTCTGACATTTTGATTTCTGCATGTCATGTTAATTGTTTCATGTTTTAAATTCAAAACACATTACAGAAACATGGGTGCATGCAGGACTCATGGGTTAGCTTAGTATGAAGTAAGTTTTCCACCATGACAATGTTACTTTCATCCTCCTACCATTGTGTTGCTTGGTGCGTGAAGATCAGAATAGATGACTGATATTATTAAGAGTATTTACCTTGGTCTTTCCTATCTGATAGGTGGTCTTATCCAGCTCCATCTTCTCAAACAGCTCCGTTATGTGCTCTGGCATTGCTGTAGCTCCTTTTGGAAGCAACACTCTGAACTTCTCAACAAATTCCTGTCATCAAGAGAAAAACATTATCAGAAGTGCAAATTAACTTTCCTCTCACTGACAGGTACAGAGGTGATTTAGTTTTCCTTTTCATACTGTGCAACATCATTCCCAAATGACTGCAAACCTTGAATGTGTATTTGGCGCTGTAGCCAGACTTCTGGATGTGAACCATCTGCAGTAAGCCCATGTGTCTGATTTGCTGTAGCACAAGTTCTTCATCGAAGTGCAGCTCTTTCTGCAAAAACAAAACATTTCCCCCCAAGCGATGAACTGTGTGAATGTGTTTAACACTCCAACATGCAGGACTACATTTACAATCAGGATAGTGATTTAGAAATTCACAAATGATTTTACCTTTTCAGCGTTAGAGCGAACACAGAAAATAAAGAATGGCTCGGCTTTTTCGATTGTCTCCATCAGCCTTCCGAGTGAGGCCTGTGAGATACAGAAGTGCAGTGAGTGATGTTTGATGTATTAAAACCAAGAAAATTCACAGTTGTCCTCAGTGCAGGCAGACCTTCACACCGAGGTCTGTCCCGCTGAAAAACACCATGTTAGCCTTTCTATCCATCTGACTTAATTTTAATTGCAACCCCTCAGGTTTGTCTACGTAATAAGCTGATAAAAGTCAGAATCACTTTCAAATACTCAGTATCTAACTTTGAGATGACACGTGAACCAAACCTTTCCCTTCCACATACATGTATACCACATCACGTCATGATTTAAGTTCATTAAGCAGAGCAATAATACTCGACACAGGTACACACAGAACAAACCTGAAACTGAGTGGCAGCTGTTGGTGGCTTTGTTGTCCGATGAGGGTGGAAAATTATTTTGCTGGTTCGGTCATGGCTGGCGTTACCAACAATATGTCGGAGGGACTGCAAATCCATGAGGTTCTGTTTCATAAGACATAATAAATTCTTTGAGTTTCTGACTTTCAATACAAAGGGACATTAGGTGAACATGTGGATTAATAAATGAACTGAAGAATGAACAGAGTGAGTCACTCATTCACATTCAACATGTTCAAACATCTGTGTAGCGCTGCACCCAACATTTTACCTTTGGAATAAGCTGCTTCCCTCGACCGCTGCGACTTTTCCTGCACAAAACACAAATGAAATGAGGCTCAACAAATGACTCATGAAACAGAATGTGAGAGGGTAATGTGTGACATTAAATATCAGTGTGTCTGAACTAAAGCCACAAGGCCCACTTACTTTCTCTTCTCGTAATTGACAAAGATGTCTTCAAATACATCCAGAGGATGTTCATCAGAGCGATCAAAGGAGAAATCCAGAGTCATGCTGTTGCTGTAAATGTCAGAGAGGTACTTTAATTTTTAATGTATATTACCATTTAACAACCTGTGTTTAGATGTGTTTATTACTGGTAAACCATACATTGTTCCTCCTGCATCACTATTCCCTCTTGAAATGTGCTTGTGTGTTTATGATGGTTGTTTTTCAGTGAATTGATTTTCTTGGTGCGATCTTGTGTATAAGTAATATGGTCTCTGGCTTCTTCTGAAATTTCCTGAATGAATAAATGAAAGAAATAATTTATGCAGTATTTGTGCCTGTGCTTGGAATGAAACTGGATGGCTGATGGCTACAGAAAACGCCTGCCTGATTCAAGATCTGTTGTCAGTTGTAATACTCTTGGTTGTATCAAAAGGAAAATCAAGCTGGAATAGAGACATATCATTGGCAGTAAAATTCACAATAAATGAACCAGTGTAGTAAATCTACCTGGACAGTCTGTCCACAGTGCTGCTGTGCCGTTTCATCTCTCTGAGGGTCTTGCGGGAACCTCGTCTGGCAGATACTATGGTAACAATACAACAGGTCAGCTGTATGTACTCATCAGAACATTTGTTAAAAGAAGGAAAATAAAAACATGTTGATGAGATGCAGCATGGCCGAGTACTTCAGAAAAAGTCAGCTGAACAAACATAATTCCTGCTAAGACCCATCTGCAGTGTTTTATTTTACTTTTACAGGGTGAATCATTTTAGCTGATGGTTACAACTTAAAATGCAGCTCTATTAGCAACAAAAGCTACCTACACGACTCTGCCCGCTGGCGTCCCAAGTTCTTGAATACTGTGAGGATGCGGATTGTGGCTCGAAGGACTCCCCATCTGAACAGAGCTTCTGGACTGGATGCAACCAAGTGATGCACGAACGCCCGCTCACTGCTCCGTAGAAGTGAGATGACTTCAGGCTGCATGTGCTCCGTGTTTTTCTGCCGGAAATCCTGAAGGACAAGAAGAATTAACTTGGTGTATTCCTGCATTCTTGCTGTAGTCACACAGAAGGGAATCTCTGGAGCTCAACATTCATTACATGTATTCACAACCTGAAACTTCACAGTGCAACAACAGTTTTCTCAGGGGGAGGGAGCGGAATTAATCATTCACTTAGCTCAAAGATTTTCCCAGTTTTTCCCACAGTGGTTTATTAACATGATTCCAGGCAGCCTACCCTCACTATGTCACATTGTGCTTGTACTGAATTTCAAATGTTCATTATTTATTTTAAAGAATAAAGATGTTTGCAGTGTGGGATATGTACTCCACCTTGATGTGATATTTAACCCGTCCAGCAAAGTGTTGAATGACAAAAGTCGGCTCTGTATTTGAGGAGGGTACAAAGAACAGGTTGTCCTGATGCTGCTGCTTCAACTTGTCCAACAGGGTTTCATCTGTGGCCTGAGGGAGGCTAAAGATACACAAATAGGAGGACAGAATATCAATATCCACACACTGTGCGCAGGAAAGAAGGTAGAAAAACACTTGCTGAGATGATTTTATTTTGACCATGCATACAGTTTTACTTATTGAGCCATAATGATATTACAGATAAAAATATCATGACTTAAATTTCATCTGTATCATCCAGTTATACTTTTAGCCAGCTCCCGATAATGGTGACTGGCCTGCAAACCTACCTAGTATTACATTCATTAAATTGCTATTAAAGCCATTACTATGTAGGATTTTACTAAAAAAACAATGTAAGCAACTGACTGATACGAAAATAACCCCTCTCAGTCATCACTTATGACCCACTAGAAGTGTTTGGCGGCGTATTTCTCTGTAGAGACTCTGTCCTCTGCCTCTATAATCATATTTTCTTGTTTTCTGCTAGACTTGCAGGGTTCATACAAGCAGTGTAGGGAGGAGGGGCCAAGTTTACTTATTGTGTTTACAAAGAGTAACTGGCAATTCCTGAATAGTATATCTTTAGTACATTTTTTTCTGTAGAAAATTGGTGCTTGAATATGGAAGACAAAATCCAAAGGAATTCAGTTAAGCTGGATTTCTTGTAGTGACCGACTGATCAGCTGAAGGAGAACAAAAGGTGATAATTTCTTGTCATTTCTTGTTTGAGATGAACCACTTACCACTAAGACTAACCAGACTGACCAGTTTCAATATCGTCTGCAAATGCCTTATTTAATTGACCTGCATGATATTACCACAATAAACACAGCCGGGGATCGTGCTACAGGCAAAGTTCACCTACTTGCTCTCCTCATCCAGCAGGTCGAAGAGTCCGGTTGACTTCTTGCTGATCAGCTGAATGCAGTCGCTGTTGTCAGTGTAGTTGATGTCTTGCCAGGTGATGCCCTCTGACACATAATCTTCCTGAAATATATTAATCAGAATTACATAATTAGGTGGCTCAGTGGAAGTAAATGTAAATGTAAATGTAAATGAATGTGTCTCTGTGGCACTGATGTGGAGATGTTTTCGTAACAGCCAAACAATAAATACAGAAATAGGGATGTAGAGAATCATGCAGAACATAAAATAGTAACCACAGTGCCTGCAAGTTTTAAGACCAACTTAATGCTTAATGCCAACTGCAAAAGATACTGAAATACTTTTGCAGGCAAAATAGTAACTCATTCATGTACAAAGGCAAATAGACATCTAATAAAATGTGTCAGCCATGCCGAGTCCAAAAATAGAGTGAATATTACTAACCCGGATGTGCCATGAAAGACTTAATGAAAAACACCTACTTGCTCAAGCTCGAAGATGTGCTGGTTGATGTAATACTGCAGTTTCTCGTTGGTGTAGTTAATGCACAGCTGCTCAAAGCTGTTCATCTGGAGGTTCTCAAATCCAAACATATCCAGGACACCGATGGACAAACACTAAAAAACAAAAAAATAAATCAGGTAATGACACAACACACAAAGTCTAATTAATAAGCTACATTAAGGCTGCACATAACTGCTAAACCTACTAGGACAGATACATGCCTACTTCATCACTCACTGTCAGTGCTTCAAAAATGACTTTACACAAAATGATGATCATTTGTTATATATAAATGAACATAATATATGAACAAAACAGTGTGCAAATCTCCGAAACGTGCAGTTTTTGCCTGTGTAACTTACAGAGACTGACTCCTCCATGTCTCGTCTATTGAGCATTGCGTGGTTGATGTGAAGGATGATCCAGTCAAACAGAGCACTGTATAAAGACTTGGCCATGGAGTCCCGCACTGTGGGGGCCTGAACACACAGAAACATCAAACAACGGAAAAGATAACTTAAACTCAAATGAAAAAAAAGGTTTATTTTAAATTCAACAGAGTCCACAATAAAATTAAACCAACTCAAACTTAACATATTTGGATTAAATTTAATGATTTTATTATTACACCAAAAGGAATACTTTACTAACAAAATGATCATTTGTATATCAATTACTCATCACATGTTATGTTGAATTTGTGAAGAAAACTTTGTTTTTCTTGCATGCCTCCTTGGTGAGGGAGTAATCCAAAAACTGAGGACATTCTTGGTGAGTAGAGTTAAAAGGAGGACCACATATACCAACTGCAAAACTGCATCAATACATCTGTGTACAGACTCCCACACAACTCGTGCAATATAATCTAATAAATCTCATTCATCCAATCATATGCTCAGTACTTCCTAAACACGGTAATGGGAATTACAGTAAAACAACTGGACGAATGAGACTTGGATTAAAATGCACGAGTTGTGTGGGAGTCTGTAAACGGATGATTTGACGTAGTTTTGCTGTTGTTAAACATCGTCTTCCTTTTACTCCAATTTATCAAGAGTTTTTGCATCCTTTGTTCATCGTGGAGGCATGTGAGAAAAAGTTTTATTCATGAATTCAACATAACACTGGGTGAGTAATTGATTTACCAATGATCATTTTGTGGGTCAAGTTTTCCTTTTAGGGGGAAGCTGTAATACTGAATTTCAACTCTATACCTCTTGTAGTGTGTACGGTGAAACTACGGTGGCGTTGGTGGTCACTACTGTCCTCTTGGTCAAAGTCTTCACCAGTAGCTCCTTTTTCACCTAGAAAAAACAAACAAAATAAACAAATGGTTACACAGAGAGTTAAACATTACTGTGACACATTGTTAATCCCACGGAAAATCTGTACTAATTATTGTATTTGTCAAACAGAACAGGTTGAAACATGTTTGTTCTTTAACAACACAGAGAGCTATTTTAAGCTCAGCAATGACGCAGTTCATCTCTTGGAGAAACTCTGCTGACTGAATGAGAATTTCCACTGTTAAGCCCCGTTTCCACCGAGCAGTACGGTATGGTTCAGTTCAGTTGGGTTCGCGTTTTTTCCGCTTCCACTCTGAAAAGTTGTGAATGGTACCAATGGCACCGTTCCGCACCATCCCAATTTTTGGTCACTGTTCTGTTGGGGTACCTAGCACACAGATCTGGTACTAAAAGGTAGAGCTGTGAACACTTTGGTGCGTTGATTGACCAATAGTGGACGGTCACTCTGCTCAGGGCTGAGTTGTGGCTGGTTTTGAGGCTCATGTAATCACTGTTCATACCATGGAGAGTTTTACATACAGTAATAAACTGTAACTATAAAATGAAAGGATGTTTTGCTGCCTCTTGCATCAGCTGTAGTCTGAGAAAAAACAACTTAATTCGCAGGGCCAACTGCTGGCGACTTTTAAGGTGGATCGTTTACTTGTCATGTTACTCAATGTATGAGTTGACGCCGTGAATCCATCAGCACACACTTAAGAGTCCTGCTTGCGGCGGAAACGCTAAGCGGACCTAGGGTCTAGGTACCATATTTGAAGGTTTATTTTTGGTTCCAAAGGTACCATACTGAAAGTGTTTGGTGGAAATGGGGCTTCACTGTGTTTTCATCTCAAGTAAAGGCTGTTGTCAAACACTAGAAATCAACAAGAGACTGTGGGTAAAAATCCAGGTGATGATTTTAGCAGTTAGCATACATAACCAACATACTTTGAGCAGGTCAGACAGTGTGGACAAAACTTCAGCAGGTCCAACCTCCAGGACCTCCGTGTCCTCTGACAGTGTGTACGTCACATTGCCCAGGTGCAGGATGGCAGACAGGATGGAAAATATGCTGCACAGTAAAACAGGCACACACAAACAGATTGCTTATTCCTGCCTGAAATGCATTCACTGTGAATTCTTACTTGCTGTGCACTGTGGAGTTTTAACAAGTATATTCTGTGAAAGCTTTTAATCCCATTATCAGTTTTAACAAATAATCTGATTGAACTGTTTCATATTCAGGTTGCCCTTAAGTTTAACTCGCTCCTACTTACTTAGACACTGACTATTTCTTCTCATACTGTCATACACACTGTATACTGACGTGTTTCTTTTGGTATCTTATTTACATTTCTTTTTCTGTTTATTTCAACCTTGATGCTAGTTAATCAGAGTCTCAGTCATGTCATAACCCAAAGCTGGTGTGAAACTTGTGCATATGAAGCCAACTAACAACAATATCTGGGAAGATAAACATTGCTGTGTTGATGTAAACAGATCAGTGTTGCCCTCTAGGAAGCACATCTAGTACTGTAGAGGCTCATAGCAGGTGATAGTTGACACTGCCATTATCATATTTTCTATGTTGGTATGTCTGATCAGCTACATTAGACAACAAAGCCTAAAAACAAGCTGTACATGCAGGTCAAGAGTTGCTGAGTAAGTTCAACTAACTATAAAGGAATGCCTTAAGAGACTATTCATGTTTATTTCTGTGGACTTCACTTTGACTCCTCCTCTGAATCTCTGGAGGTGTTTACTAAGGAATGTCTGAGGTCATTTATAAAGGAAAAAATGACTTTGTCCATAGTTTCTGCCTGTTTTGTTTCCAACTGTACACTTCTCTTTAGACCTCTTCACTTAAACAGTGACTGTGTCTTCAGTGTAGTTATTCACCAGGAGGACCAACCTGAACAGGTTATAAACTATGCTGCTAGCGCTTTTATGTGTACGCAGTGTCCCGAGGCTGTCAGCCACTTGTCAACATGCTTGCTGCATTTTTCTCCTGCTTGACTTGACAAGCTCTGACCTGTTACTGACACCAGTATAGAAAGCAGGAACTCTTTGACGGTGTTCAGTTTAATACCAAATTACATCGTCTACCTGTGTAAATTTAGATGAAGCTGACTCAGAGCTGTGCTGTGTCACTATGAGGTGACTGAGAGGCAAAGTGAAATGTTGTTGTTCCACACACAGCAAATATTTGTCCTTCAAATAGTTCTGTAAGTCCTTTCTTTCTCCACCGTCTCAGGGGACCAAGTGAGTGAGCTTTACGGTAAAACTATATGTGCCTGAGACAGTCTAAACCTTCTGGCATGTGCTGTTGTGTCCTTGATGACAAACCTACATGTCTGACAGCAAACAATGACAACAACAACAACAACAAAAAACAAATGTTTGACTCCAGCCTGCAGCATTCTAGTTGCTCTGTTCATTATCAAAAACAGACATACTGTTTCTTGGTGGAGGCCAGGAAGCCAACCATCTCCATAGCTTGATGGAGTCTCTCGTACTCCTGCCCAAGTTTCTCCTCCTCGTCTAAATGGAAGTCTTCCTGCAGAACAATCAGATGACAAGCGGAAAGAAAGAGGGGGTTAAGATGAATAATAATATAATAAAACCTTCATTTATATAGCAAATTTATGCATCAAATGCAGCATAAAAGCACACAGTCATAATATCTATAACAAAACAATTAAAACAAGGGAAAAAACAACAAAACAAAAAAAACTTTTGAGCCCCTGAGACAAGGGTCAGCAACCTTTACAATCAAAAGAGCCATTTTTGACCAAAGATAATGGAGCCACAAAACATATTTGAGCCCTATAATGAAGGTAACAGCCTATTAAGTCTAAATTAGCCCATTAACATTACTAATAGGTCTAAATGAGCATTCTGACTTTGCAGAGTTGGCAGTGAAAGCAAATCAATCTGTCCAAGCAGTATCAAATTTTCCTCCAAGACTTGTGCTTTTTTGGATTTGGAATCCATAGCTAGCCTAACAAGGGAAACTCCAGACTGGTCACTGCTATTGAGGTTTGGCAAAATTTGGAGGAAATGCCGGCAGGCCGTAGATGTATGATGCACATTTCAGTTAATTCAACATTTTTTAAATTTGGTGCATAGGTACCTAATTCTTTAGGCCTACAACAATGATAAATGGAAAAAAAATCAAAAAAATCAAAAAATCAAATCAAAGCTACAGGGAGCCACTAAAGAAGGGCTTAAGAGCCTCATGTGGGCCATAGGTTGCCTACCCCTGCCCTAAGACATTCAGGCAGACTGTGTCAGCGCTTTGAGGCGAAATTAACACATGCTGCTTCTCTGTGCCCTTTGGTTCTGACCTCAGGGACAATCGAGATGTTTGAGTTAGAGGATTTAAGGGGACCTGGTGGGCACATGTGTCTTAACCATGCAATGTGCTGATCTTTTCTTCCTGTGTCTATTTACTATGTTTCTATTATGTCTCAATCAAACATGCAAACTGTTAAGTTGCAGTGCTTGTTCAGGCATGTATGTATGAGCATGCAATGTGCTAATTTTTTTTTTTTTTTCCTGTGCCTTTTAATATGTACTTTATTATGCAATTGACAGAACTTGGATATAAGCACTACAGCACTTAACCCTTATTGTCCAAATATCCTCCACTACCATCCATCATAATCACAAGAAGAACAATGTACTGGAGTTTGCATTGCTGCAGTCTCACATTCCATCTTTACACCCCAAACAGTCCCTTCTCCCCCATCTGACTATTACTCGGTTGCACTTAAAAACAGGACATAAGCTTACACATGCATAATGTGCAATATGACTTTTATGCCTCGCTGCGCGATTTATACTGTGAAATTGTGATTGTTATGTTTTTATTTATTGTAATTGCTTCATCTATTTTATGGTTAATGCATTCACTTTTTTAGGAACTTTTGCCTGCATCATCTGGCGGGGGGACTAGCAATGGAAATCAGCCCTTGGCTGCAATTGGGTGCATTTACGTTTTTATTTCAAAGAAAATGTTCATTAATATACACTGTCCCCCTTGAGAAATAAATAAAATTGAAACTGAAACCATGTCAGACAGATAAGAGGAGGCAAAGCCATTCAGTGATTTAAAAAAACATATCGAAGAATTTTATAATTAATTCTCTGACAGACAGGTAACAAATAACGCACAGCCAAAGAGGTGTATGCAAAAGATAACACATGAACAACAATGTAGAAAAGAGATCAACAGAACCATCTTCCTTCTTCCTCTTGTTTTTATAATTTAATTACTGATACTTTTTGATTAATTTATTGATTTTCATGTTAATATTTGAGGTTTTATTTGATTCTCTATAATGCACTTTGGGCACTTGATATTTGTCTTCTCTATACATAAACTAACTTGACTGTACTGGATTTTCCAGGTTGTGTTCACACCTGTAATGGAGTTTTAAAAGGTGAAAATTGGGTTATTATGGGACCATTTTGTCGCTGAGCCCTGCTGCATAATGAGGAATACACAATCCTGTAAGTTTAGTGAGTGACAGCAAATTATGCTGCACCTGACTGAACTAAAAGGCTTTAATCATTTTATTGTCTAATGTCTAGGCAGAGCGAAAACAAAGAAGATCAGGAGTTAGTTATGAGAATTAGTTGAAACTGCAGCTTCAACGCCATAAACATAAATCAAGGCTACTAAAAACAAAACCAAAGGAAGACACAATAGGCGCTGAACCTGAAAAGGAAATGGCTGGTGGTTGGTCCATGTTGCAATATAAACACATGCAAAATGCGCAAGATTACTTGAAGCCAGACAGAGACCAGCCTTTTCAGGTGGTGTCAGAACTTTAAGTCCACACCAGGGTTCAAACAAAAGCATTCTCAAAAGACATATATAGACACAACTAAAATATAATAAAATGATTTTGTGGGAAAGCATGTGCACTTTAAGTCTAATTAAAGTGAAGTTTTAAAGTTTTATGTGAGTGTCTGTTTATGCACAACACAGGCAAAGCTGTGACACGCTACAATTCACTACTGAGACGTGTCTAGATATTGTGGTTCTGTCTCTGTAAAACATCTACTGCTGGTTTTCCCCATTTGATAACATCAAATGACACGTTTTACGCTAGTCCTCCCCTTTATAGCAGCAGCTAAGTGTGTGGATCAAAGGTACCTGCTTGAGGTAGAGATAGTCTTGCGGCTTTAACAGATGAAACTCCTCCTGCTCGTCTTTGGACGCACCCACCAGCAGATAGTAAAACACGTGGAAGTTCCTGCGGGTCAGAGGTCACACGGCGCCGATACAGTAATTCAGGGCTCACACATGTTTCATTTCAACTCTGGTGTTTACTCAACATTTTACTGCACACAGTGCTGTGAAGGTGGTTAGGTTAGGGTGAGTGTTTTGAGTGTCTGAGACTGCTTTTACTGGCTTATGTTAAAGGTCAGAGTTCAGGTAAAACTTGGAGACAATGTGACCAAGGTTGGTACCATTTATGTACTATTTCCATGCTCATTTGAATGTATAAATTAGAAATAAAATATAAGCTTAATAATACCTCTCCCTTTGATCTCTGGACACCAGGCGGCACTTTTCTAGTAGGTACTTCTCAATAACTGCCCTGCAAGAGACACACAAGAGGAGAATGTCAACAGAACCTGAGAAGCTTTGGTGTGGTTGCCAACATTGTACAATTACGACACAGCAAGAAAAATGATCTGTTAAATGTAACATATATATAAATATTAACCAAGACAAACTGTTAACTGTACTGCAGAGGCCTTGAAGAGAAAAATAAAACATGAAGCCTTACCCTCTGATGACACCACTCTCCAGATAGTTGAGCTGGATGAATTTCCCAAAGCGACTGGAGTTGTTATTCTCTGCAGTCCTTGCGTTGCCAAAGGCCTGTTTAAAACACAGCGAACATAAGTTTTTGCTAAAATAAACAGTCAAATTTGTAGGCATGTTTCTCACAGACGCTGGCACCCAGACCTAAACACTGCAAATGTTTGCTGCGTAGAGCAGCGATTAAATTAGTTACTGTGGTTTGTGGATGGCAAGTGGGAAGGTACTGTAACCTTATGAAACATTGGAGATTAAAGAACTAGAGGTGCAACTACAGTGATTTTCATCATCAATTATGTTCTAAATGAATTGATTTATCTTTGGTCTAAATGACAATCTTAAATGTTTGTGTAAAATGTCTGGGTATCATTTGAAAATTCAGATACCAGTACAGATACCAGTGCCCTTAAAGTGATACCCATACCAACAGAGTTACTCATTTGATGCATTTTTTTCTACTTCATTTGATAACCATCATGGGAATGGAGGCAGTCAGTTGCATAAAATGCAACCAGAGGTGGGGCAAATGAATTGTTGGCAGCCAGTGTGTGTGTGTGTGTGTGTGTGTGAGAGGGAGAGGGAGATACAGTGTGTATCGGTCAGTAAATGCAAGTATCGGTTATATGCTGGGGATGCCGACGTGAAACTATGGAGGGACAAATTAATGGTGTATGGTACACTGCACTCGATTTCACCACACCACAGACCGTATGTACAAATAGTAATTTTTACTATTTGTTTTTATTTTTACAATACTACGGGTGTGCCATATCATCTTGTTCACAATATTACCGGTATCATTTTTAATATTCATATTGTGATACTCGCAATATTTTGACTTACTGACATACTGATGTTATACTGTTACCCACGGCAACAACAAACATGGCTGAAAACAAATTCATTACCGACTTGGCAGTGGTTCCAAAAAGAGGAGCAGCTTCAGTAGTGTGGAATAAACTGTGAAGTCATGAATGTTTTATGAACAGCCCCGGACTTCACAGACTCTTTTAGTGAGGTACCGCTCAGAGGGAACTCATTCAGCGGTTCCTCTGGCAGCAGCTCTCCTCTCGGTGAGGTCAAGTGATTTTGTCATAAACCTATGGGACGCTCACAGATTGACAAAAAACTACATATATGTGAATGTGAAATATTTATCGTATCGTAACAGCCTGTCACAGGTTACAGTGTGATGATTAGAGGAGAAATGGCAGAGCATAAAGGTCCAGGTGGGAAATATGCTAAGGTAAGACTTCAATGTCCCTGCGGGGTAATTTGGGATACAGAGAGTAGTCATTATAAAAACAAAATAGACAGTACAATACATAACATACAAAATCCAGAGTCACACACTGTCAGACGTAAATCATGGATGATTAGTGGTCACTGCTGATGGAGATAAGTGATAGCAGACTGAACAAAGGACGATCTGTAACGCTCAGTGCTACATTTAGGGAAGCAAAACCTCCGCCCTGATGGGAGCATCTGAAACACAACATGGAGGGGATGTATATTTGGGAGCTGTTTAAATGTGTAATCATAGTAGATTTTATTTCTTTGAACTACTGATATTGTATACAGAATCTGAATCTCACTGTAACTGTCAGTTACTGTTACTTAAGAATTGAGAGATCATTTTTGTTTAGTTTTTACTGAATATTTAAAGGCAAACTGTTGATATGTAGAACTATATCACTTATTATGTTGCAAATCTATTTTCTTAAATTAATAATACTTTTTTTTTTTTTTTTTTTTTACTAATTGGTCATATCGTCAAGAATATTGTTATCACAAAAATACACTTAAATATTGTAATATTATTTCAGGACCATATCTCCCTCCCCTACTCAATACTTTCAAACTAAATAAATAAATAAAATACCAAGGAAAGCAAAACAAAACAAAATCACATTTAAGGGGAAGAAACCATTAAAAAAAAAGAAAAAAGAATTAATTAACATAACAGTTGCAGATAAATTTTCTGTTGATCGACTAATTGATTAACTAATTGTTGCAGGTTTACTCTGAACTAATCATGTGAAGGCAAAGCCACTCTTATTATGTAAAGGAATTGTATAAAATTAAACCTTTGTGAAAATATATCTGATGTTTGATTTTGTGATTTTTTTAATATGATTTATTACATATAATTAATCAACAACTGAACAACTAAAAAGCCTTATTTACCACAACATCATCATTACTGCCGTAATTCACTGCGTCACTGCATTGGATCTCAGTCCCCCTGGCTGAATTCAACAACTGCAATGCATCCTCAGTGTTTCCATCAGTAATGCAGTTAAACCATGAGACTGGCATCTATTATGCACATAGTTAAGTGGCCACAGGCATTTGGAAATAAAAGTTCCATCAAGCAGCCTTTTGTTAAGTTCTCAATGAGGCTTCTGCATAAACAGCGTGCAGTTTTATTGTCACTTAAGACACAGATACTTCCTCAGTGGATGGTGTTTTCCGCTCTGCTAATGTGACTGCTCTGCAGTTTATTACATTTCTGTGAAAAATGTATTTAATTGGGTAAACAATAAATCTGTCAGCAGGTGAGAGGAAAGTATTACTTTACAGCTATCTTATCAATTGATTAATTTAGAATTTCAAAATATTTATCAAGTACAAACACCCAAAGGTAGCTGGTTGCTACTCAAATGTGAGGATTTTTAGCTTTTTTCCATTTCATAGTTACAAATTAAATGTCTTTATTTTTTTAACAGTTGTTCAAAGCAAGTACTTCAAACACACATTGTAAAAAATTAATTAATCAATAATAAAAAACTGCTAGAATAATCAATAATAAAATAGACATAATAGAGATAATCAGTAGCTGCAGCCCGAGAGAAAACATAATGATCAATCTCACAATTGTAGCGCTTGTTATTTTCTGAATGGAGACAGTATCTAAGGCTCACTATCAACAAAACAACCGACTCCACCCGGGCTAAGTCACCACAGGGTAAAATGACACAACAGGATTATGAGCGCTGCAGCTGAACCTGGATCAGCTTCTACTTCCCAAGTTTCCTCAAGACAAAGGAAACTCCAAACTGATCCCATGTCAGCATCTAAAAGGTATTATTCTCCCTCATTCCAGTGTGAGCTATGCTAACAGTCGTGTCTTAACAGGCCAGAGCAATGCTTACGCAGACAGTGGGCGAGACCTGCATACTGTACTGATCGCACGCTGACAGGAAAACCTCTGCATTGCTGGAATGTTTCTACAGTGCTGTAAATACAGAGCTTGGTTTTCATTTGAACCAGATCAAGCTTATCTAAAGAAGGAGAACACTAAATATGTAAGGCATGTGGAGAGAAGATGGTATGTGGAGGAGGAAGAGACACAGGTGTTTGCCACGTCCTAGTGTAGGGGCTGGATCCTCTGAAGGACAGATATACGATGAAGAGGGCTAGGTTGAACTTGCTCCTCCTCCCTGACAGAGACTAACACTTAGGATGCATTTAGGTAGACCTGGTCTGCTCGTAAAGTCAAAAAATTCCAAGCTTATCACCAGGAATTTGGCCTTGAAAAACTGGCAACATGGTGGGAAACACCGGTGGAAAGCTGGGACAAGTCTGATGATACCTGAGTTGACAGATTGAGATGTGACATTTCACTGCAACAGATGATGAACACCTGGCAAACAATTTATTTTCATAACTGATGAACTGATTTCTCATGCAAAAGAGCCAAATATCCTGGTTCCAAATGTGAGGATTTGTAAATTTTCTATGTTTTACATCAAATTAAAGGCCCAGTGTGTAGGTTATTGGGGGATATATGGAAATGGAATATCATGACTATGTTTTATTTAATGTATAATCATCTGAAAATAAGAATTGTGTTTCCGTTATCTGACAATGAGCCGTTTATATCTACATAGGGAGTGGGTCCTCATTTATGGAGACCGCCATGTTGCACTGTCATGGGTCTAAAGGAGCCCAGAACAGACAAACCAAACACTTGCTCTGGATAGGGCCATTCACATTTTTATGTTGGCTGCCATAGTTAGCAGCCCTCTGTGACAAGCAGCTTTGGAAATACAGATTTTCTTTAATGTGAAACTGCTTTATTCCGTGTTTTTACCGCTTTAAATCACCAAATCTGTTTGTTTCAGGGAGGACGAGATCTCTGCAGATAATTAAGCTCCTAGTAAAAACCTCATGAACATCTGGATCAGAAATAAGGTGAGCACACATTAAGTTCTCGGAGACAAAAGGTGAGCACACATAAAGTTATCGGAGACAAAAGGTGAGCACACATTAAGTTATCAGAGATAATAGGTGAGCAAACATTTGCAGGTTCAGGTCAAGCAGGCTGTCTGCGACATGCTGAAGAGGGTAGGAGAGCTACGGACTTGTAACATAAAACTGCTTAATTCAGTGTTTGAATCACCTGTTTGTTTGGAGAGGAAGTAACTTCTGCAAGTAATTCAATTTTTGATAAAAACCTCCTGAACAATGAACACTGAAGGAATTCCAGCTGGTTGCAGTGTCCAGTCCTCACCGCTACATTCCACTAAATCCCCTTAAATCTTACATACTGGACCTTTAAATATCTTTGGGTTTTGGACTGTCATCTGACAAAATTAAGTGATTTGCAAATGTCACCTCTAAAGGCCTTTACACACCAGGGGTGTGACGAATATACGACATATAAATGCAAACAACATATAAATGCAAATACTCCCCTGCATCAAAACTATTCAGACTGACAGCAATGCAGATTTGCAACGGTTGCAATAGGTCCGCCATTGTCATGAAGTTTTGATATGACATCCGTTCTAAACAACGTGATTGGCTGATGCCTTACTTCGCAGAGTGAAAGCTCAGAAAAATCTAACTTATTCCAAAAAATTGTGTCCTCTTTGCCGCATGATATTTGTGTTCTGTGTGAAAGTACTCGTGAAAAAAACAACAACAATTCAAAACAATATATTGACGATGAGCAAATAAATCACATAAAAAGCCCCCATCTTGCTTCATCTATTCATCCATCCATTATCTTCTGTTTATCCAGGACTGGGCCGTGAGGGCAGCATCTAACATCGACTTATTTGTTATATTGTCTGATTAACTAAAAAGTGAATCAGGCTGCTGCAAAGAAGAAACAATGGATTTTATGACTCTAGCAATATTTACTTGACCACTGATCACCAGTTGCATATGATAATGTGTTTATTTGGGTAACACAAAGACTGACTTTTATCCCTTTAAATTTAAATAATTTAGGTTTAAAAATATCCAAAAAATTCACAAGAAAAAAAAAACATAATTAGAGGAGGGTCTGAAAAAATAAATTTACTTTTGTCTCACATTACATTTTTTACACATTTAATGATCAACATGTTGTGATGATGTGATGTTTTCTGACTTTGTGAGAGTCAAAGGATTGCCTAAATATTATTATTAAACATATGATGCAACCAAAGCAGAGTGGAGACACCGAGGGCTGCAAACGATATGCACCAGCTGTGTCCTCAAAAACAATCTGACAAAATAAGAGACACTGGGATAGAAAATTGTCTCAAACCGATTTCCAACTAGAAATGCTGGCCTGAGAGGATCTATGTTCCCGGATTGGAAACACAGCTAAACAAGGGAGGAAAGAGGATCTGAAATTGCACATTTCAGAGTGGGGTTAAAGCTACGAGAGAGAGGGAGAGAAAGGAGGCGATTTATACTTCTTAGTGTAGATTCGCCAGCAGACCTGGCTGAGCCTGTTCTGACACGTTCCTGCTTCTCTTCTCTCTCTCTGGTGTTCCCTCAAAGACAACGCCCTTCAAATTCTCCCTGTGGAGCTCAGCGCTCCACTTCCTGATCACCAACACCCAACACAAACCTCAAGCAACAACCACCCGCCATACTTAATGAAAGCAAGGTGCCATCACCTGCTGGCTATTGACTGCAGATCTTTCCCAGATTTCAAAACTAAACCACTTACAAGATACTTTGATGATGTTTTCATCACTTACAACAGTGAATGCATGAGTACACTGCAGTTTTCTTGCACCACATACATTTAACTAAAGAGGGAAAGAAAAAGTAGTCTTGGCTTTGTTACGTCAAATAAAAAGGGAACAAGTATCTTAGGGTGTGACTCATGCATATAAAGGAAATCCCAAGACTGCAGGAAGCTTTTTGCAAAGCAGCCAAACTACAAAACCATAAAACCCCTAAACAACAGATTAACACATCAACTGATCCTCATCACTGCAGTGTGAATCTTGTCAGTGACTCTAGGCTTGGCCTCTATTGATATTCATTTCTGGTGCAAACACTTGTGCGTGGTCGCCTCTGGTTAATCCTACGGCTAACTGCTGTGGAATTACATCTCAGTCCTCAGTAAACTTGTTCCTTATTTTCCCCATCATAAAAATCAAATCACACTCAAACAACAAGTCACCTTTTCCTCCTCAAGCTAATTTTCTGCCTCTCTGAACACCTTTTAGGAAACAAGCACAAAACAACACAACCGCCTGAGAGATCAGTTAGCAGGAAAAATACTTAAGCTGTTGCTTATTTCAACTGGAAACTTGTTGGACTTGTTCAGAGAGAGGAAGAATCCATATTCAGTCACTCTCTAACGTAAGGTTGGCCCCTTGGGATTGTGTGTGTGTGTGTGAGGGGGTGTGTGATCACAGACAAAGCAGGCCAGGATCCTTTGTGTAAAAGGTGAGTTGGTGTATTGATGGACAGATAAACCATGCACTTGTGCACATTTACAAATAATGGTAGCTGGAACAGATTTAACTGGTGCAAAGTGAAGAGCCATGAGCAGCACTTTGGAAAACAACGTGGGTACGTGGAGCTGTTTTGTATTTTAAATGAAGTGAAACCAACTAATGTCTTCCCTGTTCTTGTGCACTGAAGACAGACTCCTAGAAAAAAAAACGTTCTTTCCCCACAAAACACAAAATCTGGTAAGTTCCAATTACCCTGGTATTCCCCTAAAAATGTGTTATGCCTGGTTTCATGTCAGTTATCATCAAAACACGTTGTGTAATCCAACTGGAAAAAAAAAGCACACGTCACAGGGAAATGCGGGCAGATGTGTTGTCCTGTTACTCATTGACACGGTTACTGTAGCACAAGGCTGATGTGCTAACCAACAAAGAGACCTTTTAACCTACATGAGTTAGAGTGAAACTGAAGTTGAAAAAAATAGTGTGAATTCCCAGTTGACAAACACTGTTTTGCCCTTTGGTGCTTTTTGATTTAAGGAAATGCCTGCGCTTCACGTAAATCCAAATGTGAGAGGCAAAACAAACTATGCAAATGCTGATATTTAAATATATTACTGATCATAAAGAATCAGCATTAACGATACAAATGTCTTACTCACAATGGCCCTCTATGTTCTTATCATTTGTTGTATTTTGCTCTCACAAGTATATGACCAACAAAACACCACGGAGTCCTTCCTGGTTCAGATAACACGGCCTTTTGTGGTTAATGTTGATTATGCTGATCCCATGTTTTTATTGCAGGAAGTGCAAACACATGGTGCTGATTCTATATATTTCCTGTAAAAAGGGACTTGTTTCTTTATTTAGCAGCTAGTGCTTAACATTTTTGAATAAAAGTCAGCAACAGGTCTAAAAAAAGGATCTGAGAAAAGAGTGGGCAGTTTGTGTGATGCAAATGCAGTTTCAGTTAGACTCTGAACCCTGATCAAGTGCAACAAAACAAACAAAAAAAATCATCCACATTAATCCGGCGATCAGCAGCCTCACTACTCTATACTTCTACAACATAAGGGTGGCAGAGTCTCAGTTATTGTCACTGCCTTTGCTGCACGCTGCAACAAAGGCAGATGATCTTCTGGTTAAACCAGCAAGATAGTAGTTTTCTAAATCAACCCACAGCTCTTATCAGCACCATCTGGGGTTTCTGACACCACTTGTGCATGCAAGTTAGTTTCCTGTGGGGTTAAAAATTGGGACAATTCGGGGCGTTTTACAGATGAAGATGACTCAAAAAGTGTTTTCAATAACACATGGAAGGCCAGACCGACGTGCTCTCATGGGCTTAGAATTCATATCATGCTTTTTTATCAACCAGTTATAGGGCTGCAACTAACAATTTATTTCAGTATCGATTAATGATTGTGATGATTTTTCAATAAAATAGTGAAACATGCCCTGTGTAATTTCCCAGAGTCTATGTTACTATGTTTTATATGACCAACAGTCCAAAAATCCAAAGCTATTTGGTTAATTATTATGTACAACAAAGAAAAGCATAAAACCAGCAAAAACAAATCATTTGATCATCAAAATAGTTGCCAATTAATTTTCCACTGATTGACTAATAATTAACTGACTAATCGTTGCAGCTCTAATCAGTTAGTTTTTTTTTAAAGTGTTTGTTTTGTCCAAACAATAGTTGTAAAACCCAAAGTTTTCTATTTGCACTGATATAAAGTAGTAAAACCCAACATCTGAGACTCTGGAACCAGAAAATGTTTGACAGTTTTGCCTGACAAATGACTGGATTAATAACTTGATTAATATTCTGTTGACTGATCGTTTTAGCCCTCGGTCTAAGAATTTGGAAAGACATTTGATACAGATGGTGAAGCACAGCAAGAGTGACAAAGTGTCTTCTTATTGCCTCCACACAAGTGAAGGGACAGTTCACCCCCAATCAAAAATACATTGTTTTCCTCTGATCTGTAGTGCTATTTATCAATCTAGACTGTTTTGGGGAGAGTTGGAGGTATCAGCCATAGAGATGTTTGCCTTCTCTTTAATAGAACAGAACTCAGTGGCACCCAAAGTGCCAAAAAATACATTTGAAACACTCAACAGCAACGTCCCTTTCCAGAAATCATGACCTGGTTAAACAAGATAATCCACAGACCTTGTTGTGAGCAGTTTCATGAAGGAACTATTTCCTTTTAACCGAACTACACCCACCAACCGTATCACTGCGCAGAAGGAAGCGTACATCTACTCATGGACGAGAGGCTTGTGCTCATGACAGTGCAAGATGTAAACTTTAATGGCGGCCACAGTTGAGCTGTAACATTAGCTAGCTCAGTGGTGCTAGGTGAGCTAGCAGTAGATGCACACTACCTTCTGCGCGTTGACACAACTTGCAAGCATAGTTTGGTAGAAAGAAATAGTTCCTACATGAAACTACTCACAACAAAGTCTGGGGATTATCTTGTGAACTGGGTCATGATTTCTGGAGCGAGACATTGCTGTCAAATGTATTTTTTTTGAGTACTACAAGCCGAGTGCCATCTAGTTATATTATATCCGAAAGAAGGCAGACATCTCCATGGCCGATATCCTTAAAACTGTGCAACTCACACCAAAACAATCTTGATTGATAAACAGCCCTACAGGTAAGAGGAAAAATATTTTGATTTGGGGGTGAACTGTCCCTTTAACAGTGTGGACTGCTACAGCAGATGTGGGTGTCTGTGGTTTCAGCAGGTGGCCAGCCTCATATCACAGTGACCTACCTCTAGCACCGGGCCAGCCCCGAGGATGGTCCGTTCAAGCCCGCTGGAGTATGTCTTCTGGCTGAGGGCGGTCAGGCAGTGGATGAGATAACTGCTGCTTTCAGTCTTCCCTGAGCCACTCTCCCCAGACAACACAATACACTGGTTGACCTGTCTGTTCAGCATAGCACGAAAGGCCACGTCTGCTATGGCAAATATATGAGGGCTCAGTTTGCCCAGTGGCTGGTTCTCGTACATCTTGACGTACTTGGGATTGTAGTAAAGAGGCAGGAATTTATTGGGGTTGATGGCAATGAGGAGGTTGCTGGCGTACGTGTAGATTTTGAGCCTGTAGAAGCGCTGGCGTAGAGCCTCCAGAATACTCTCTTCAGTCACACTTTGCAGGTTACAGAGGTCATCATATTCCTCTCTGCCACTTTCTACTCCATTGTTGGCTTGCAGGATGAAGTAGTACCCTTGGTTCTGACGGTGCCACCTCTGTGCCCCCTGCGGCCACAGCAGGACTCTCTCCAAAGGGCAGTCCCCATTCTCCAGCAACTTCTCCTCTCCACCACTCTTCCTGACCTCCAGCAGGCTGTACGTCTTGGTGGCATCCAGGCCCAGAGTGACCACTGCATTGTGAATGACTGCTCTTGCCGTGTCCCCGGCGCTGATCTGCAGGGGACAGTAGGTAGCTGTGTCCTGAGGTAGCCTGGGATAGATCTGCACAACTCGGGTCTCTCCATCCTGTTCAGAGGGCCCGGCTCCATCTGTAGTGCTCATACTGATATGGAGATATACAGGCAGGCTTCAGCATAACTCACTGCCCCAAATGTCTGCCAGCATCCACTGTAGAAACATGCACATCATGTGACCAAGAGGCAGGAAAAAGAAAGTAGAAATGAAGGTAAAAACACAGGTTGATCTAAATCTCAGCTCATTTACATTTTAAATACACTCTTTCATTATTTAAAACTGCAAAATAGATAAAAGAAAATACTTGCCCTATTTCCACCCACAGTATCAACATGTTAATACCTACTGTACCAACGACAGTCGACATTCCCGAAAATTCCCACATATCCATCCGCCCAGGTGACAAATAACAAACAGTAACAAGTGTCAAACTGAACTAAAATATCAAAACGAGTCTCACCTGTCGAAGATAAACTCTCATTTCATCTTTAAAAGTCGAAATACTCCTGAAAGCGACGACAGAGGGAAGACCTCTTGCATCCACCAACTCCAATCACACAACTTAGGGAAAAAAAACGTTTCTCCACCTGAGCTTCCCAGAAAAAGGTGAGCTAACAAACTGCTTATTCACCGTTTCCAATGATTCAAGGTAATTTCCCAGCACTTCCGCGACGTTATTGCTCCTGTAAATCACAGTTTCTTTCAGAAATTTGAGGATTAACGTCTCCGCGTCGTCCTGAGCGAAAAGTTAGGCTAACGTTACTTCCTAGATTTCTCCACACTCACACACACTGACTGACACACATACACACACACACTCGTCGACGGGGTGGAAATAAATGATTTTCCCTTCACTGACCTGAGAGATGTCACACTTTAGCCAACAGGAGATAAAACTGCTGAGGAAAAGAAACACCACGGGACGTTGTGGCGGAGAGAGAGAAAGTGACACTTTCACATTAACCGAGGAGGAGGAGAAGTTAATAGACATCGACACGACTGAGCAGTTTAATTTACCTCATTTGTTATGACGGGTGGTCTGTGGGGCTGGAGCGCCCCCCGGTGGTAGTATGGGGTATTACAGCCAGCTCACAGCACATGACTACACTTACTTACTTATCACATGAAGGCACTGGTGTAAATTACATTTAGCCTAATCAAGTAAAAGTACTTTACATGAGTAATTGCAGTTTTTTTTCTTACTTTATACTTCTGCTCCACTACTGAACTAAAAAAACAACAACAAGCAAACAAACAAAACCACAACATTCCCTTACATAGGACCTAAAATGCACAAAAAAACCTATTGAATATAAAAATTAGAAATTATAATTATTATTATTATTACTACTACTACTATTACTACTACTACTAATAATAATAATAATGATGATTTTAGCATGTTTGATTTGGTGGATGTCTAGTGCTTTTTTGTATTTTTCTTACTATCATTTTTACTTTTTACTTTTTTTTTTATTGTGCAATAAGACATTTACAAAAAGAGTGAAGACAAGTACCTAAACAATAAATTGATAAACAAGATTATACAAAGTGTGACCAAGACAAAAGACCAAAACAATTATGAAAGAATACAACAAATATGAAAGAAGACATCATGATTTTTTTCTTACTATCAGTAAATATCATGTGCAGAGTCAAACCAACAATGAATCGATCAAACTAACAAGCAACGGCTGTGTAGCTAAAGCTGCATAGTAAAGCTCCAAAAACCAATAAAGACATACATTAATAATATTAATAACAAACAGAGGAAGAAACAGGCATTTACAGATGGTAATATTTACAGCAGAGCAGGGTTAGTTAAAGATGACCATAACACTGACATTTTGGGTGGTACTCCATTATAATATCATGGTTCTGTTACAGCAACCTATCTCCTTCAAGACCTAGGTAGGACTTGCAGTCATTTGTTCCATTGTGTAAACCCGTTTAAGTCTCTGCAGTCACTAAGTTATGATTGTGATCCCAGTTCACAGTTATCATTTTCTTGGCAATCAGTAAAAGTATCCACTATTGTACTTTGGAAACAAACAAACAAACAAACAAACAAACAAAAGGAACAAACAACAACAACAAAAACCCCTTATTAATTAAATTCCCGTTATTAACAAAAGAGAACATTTCCTAATAAATAAAAATAAGATAATAACACAAACAGTCTGCCTCTTTATGTTTTTTATTTTTATTTTTCACATAAACACACAAAACATGTTGACAACATATATGAGATGTATGTTACTGAACCGTGTCACTGCTTCTAACTTGGTGCCTTTCAGACGTATGTCTGTTTTACCTTATTATGTGTCTTACTGAGTGTAATGTGTTCTCGTTTACTTTGTGTTCTAGTATGTTTAGTATGTGAGACTTGTGTTCTCGTGGTTTTAGTATGTGTCCATTGTCTTGTCTTTTGTGTACTTAAAACTTTTGCCACCAGTCTTGGCCAGGACTCCCTGGAAGAAGAGTTACTGTAACTCAGTGGGACCCTTTCTGGTTAAATAAAGGTTAAATGAAATGAAATAAAATAAAATAAAATAAAATGAGATACGTACAGTACAGGCCAAAAGTTTGGACACACCTTCTCATTCAATGCGTTTTCTTTATTTTCATGACTATTTACATTGTAGATTCTCACTGAAGGCATCAAAACTATGCATGAACACATGTGGAGTTATGTACTTAACAAAAAAAGGTGAAATAACTGAAAACATGTTTTATATTCTAGTTTCTTCAAAATAGCCACCCTTTGCTCTGATTACTGCTTTGCACACTCTTGGCATTCTCTCCATGAGCTTCAAGAGGTAGTCACCTGAAATGGTTTTCCAACAGTCTTGAAGGAGTTCCCAGAGGTGTTTAGCACTTGTTGGCCCCTTTGCCTTCACTCTGCGGTCCAGCTCACCCCAAACCATCTCGATTGGGTTCAGGTCCGGTGACTGTGGAGGCCAGGTCATCTGCCGCAGCACTCCATCACTCTCCTTCTTGGTCAAATAGCCCTTACACAGCCTGGAGGTGTGTTTGGGGTCATTGTCCTGTTGAAAAATAAATGATCGTCCAACTAAACGCAAACCGGATGGGATGGCATGTCGCTGCAGGATGCTGTGGTAGCCATGCTGGTTCAGTGTGCCTTCAATTTTGAATAAATCCCCAACAGTGTCACCAGCAAAACACCCCCACACCATCACACCTCCTCCTCCATGCTTCACAGTGGGAACCAGGCATGTGGAATCCATCCGTTCACCTTTTCTGCGTCTCACAAAGACACGGCGGTTGGAACCAAAGATCTCAAATTTGGACTCATCAGACCAAAGCACAGATTTCCACTGGTCTAATGTCCATTCCTTGTGTTTCTTGGCCCAAACAAATCTCTTCTGCTTGTTGCCTCTCCTTAGCAGTGGTTTCCTAGCAGCTATTTGACCATGAAGGCCTGATTCGCGCAGTCTCCTCTTAACAGTTGTTCTAGAGATGGGTCTGCTGCTAGAACTCTGTGTGGCATTCATCTGGTCTCTTATCTGAGCTGCTGTTAACTTGCGATTTCTGAGGCTGGTGACTCGGATGAACTTGTCCTCAGAAGCAGAGGTGACTCTTGGTCTTCCTTTCCTGGGTCGGTCCTCATGTGTGCCAGTTTCGTTGTAGCGCTTGATGGTTTTTGCGACTCCACTTGGGGACACATTTAAAGTTTTTGCAATTTTCCGGACTGACTGACCTTCATTTCTTAAAGTAATGATGGCCACTCGTTTTTCTTTAGTTAGCTGATTGGTTCTTGCCATAATATGAATTTTAACAGTTGTCCAATAGGGCTGTCGGCTGTGTATTAACCTGACTTCTGCACAACACAACTGATGGTCCCAACCCCATTGATAAAGCAAGAAATTCCACTAATTAACCCTGATAAGGCACACCTGTGAAGTGGAAACCATTTCAGGTGACTACCTCTTGAAGCTCATGGAGAGAATGCCAAGAGTGTGCAAAGCAGTAATCAGAGCAAAGGGTGGCTATTTTGAAGAAACTAGAATATAAAACATGTTTTCAGTTATTTCACCTTTTTTTGTTAAGTACTTAACTCCACATGTGTTCATTCATAGTTTTGATGCCTTCAGTGAGAATCTACAATGTAAATAGTCATGAAAATAAAGAAAATGCATTGAATGAGAAGGTGTGTCCAAACTTTTGGCCTGTACTGTATGTATATCTATATATGTACTGTATATATATTTTCTATTTTGTTTAAGTGACTATTTTACTGTACTGACTAATACTGTTTTTCAAGTGATCAGTTGTTGATTTAATTCACTGTCCTTTAATGGTAATTGTTCAACAATCAACACATCTCAAATATCATGCCAGTAAAGTCTATTGAATCAAAACTGGATGGTGGTTTCGTATCCTTCCAGTTCACAGGTCTTGGCGATCAATAAAAATAAATATTGCACTTTTTATTCCACTTTATTCATTTGACAGCTGTAGTAAGTAGTTACTTTTCAGATTAAGCATGAGAATAAAAAACACATTCAATAAGCTTATAAACGTGGTGTGCTGGTAAAGATTACTCCAGTGGTTTTAAACCTCTTTGGCTTGTGTTTAGTTGGGGCCCCTGCCACATTTTACATGTCCATGAGTTAGTCAAAGAGACATTTTCCCTCTAAATTTCTCAGAGGATGTTATTTAAATAATTCTGTGTGGCCCAAAGAAGTTAAATTATCTAAAAACAATAGACAATTTACAAATACAGCACAGCACAAGCAGTGGCTACAGTTTTTTCCCTCTCCTGTTTATCATTTCACAACATCTCAGAGTTATCTTGTGACTCCTTTGAGGGGCCCAACCATTATGCTGGGAACCACCGACTGAAAACCTAAGTATATAAAAAAGTTACTGTAAAACCAGCTCCACCTCGATCAGCTGCAACAGTGACATGCTGCTTGTACACTGCTGCATTATTATTAATAATCTAATAATGTCATAAATTAACTCTGAAAATATGAAATAATTACTTTTTTAGCAGCACAAAACAGAAAAGAATATTAGAAACAACCAAACAACTAAACAAAAAGAACGGGACAAAATAAAATAAAGTTTTATCTTACCAGTAAATTTCTTTTCTGGAAATAATGCAATAAATACAGTCAAAACAATCAACATTACATGATTACAATAATTAAAACAGCTTTGTGAAAATGTGTGTGTAAAAGTTGATGTTATTCAGTGGTGTAGTGGAATGTGCAGGTATATGGGTTAGTTCTTGCTGATTAAATACCCACCTATCAGCCAAAAAGCCACTGGAATATATAAAAGAGAATACCCACTTCCTCCTCAGTAACCACCTCACCAGCCACCATTACACCACTGACGCAATGCACTGAAATGTCCTGATGTGAGAATATGCCAGTGCTGTTGGGTCATTGTTTTTCTTGGATATGGTGCAAAGGACCCCTTATTTCTCCTTTTTGTTTACCTCAGGTGTTTCACAGCGGAGAAGACGGACAGCGTCATTAACAACAGACAGAGCCTTTTGTGATTAAAGTTTAATGCCAGGTTTTAATGGCATGTTCCTGTGTCCTGGTCTGCACTCCTAAAACTGCTCCAGAGGCTCCAAATCCTTCTGACAATTTTAATTAACATTTTGGCCTCAAACCGTCTTGTGAAAGCTGAAAATTAATTAGCTGTCTTGAAAAATAGCGTAACATTTATTTATTTATGAGGGAGATGGGAGGTTATGGGAGGTTATTTTAAGGTTATGTTGAACAATATGTGGCTAAGAGCTGCTCCTGGTGACAGCAAATTATCTCAATAAACCTGCTGGCAAAATGATGCTCAACAGGAACACAAACTGTGCTTGTGACAGTGAGTAGTGAACCTGTACTGACCTTTCTGGGCTGTGTGCTTTCACTGTAACTTGGCCTTACTACTCTCATTCACAGGATATTACATTTAGTTTATACAG